CCATGTTTACATATGAACATGATCGTAGTAAAGTAAACACTCCAGCGAAACTATGTTTACATGTGAATATGATCCTAGTAAAGTTAACACTCCTGGGACACCATGTTTACATGTGAACATGATCCTAGTAAAGTTAACACTCCTGGGACACCATGTTTACATGTGAATATGATCGTATTAAAGTAAACACTCCTGGGACACCATGTTTACATGTGAACATAACCTTAATAGTGTAACAAAATACTCCTTTAATGTAAAACATGTGTCCACAGTTTGTCTGTCTATATGTTTGCCTTTCTGACAGCAAGTTTTTGGGTAAGTTTACGGAACAAGTTCTAATCGTATCATGTCGTGAACTACAGATACATAATTAGTATTCATCAATATCCTTAATTGAGTTTTGATGGAACTTGTCTTTAACGATTATGTTTACACTTTATTTCTTTGCATAATGCTGCAATATTTTAAAGACAATTTAATGTACAATTACACGTCTGTAAGGGATTGGTTGCCAATAAATACCAGGACAATATATCACTGTTACAGGTGCTGAACAACTTTACATACCCATGCGTGGTACCATGTTATATGTATTTTTGATATTATCTACACTATATATAAGTATCGCCAGTACTTTGATGCTTTAAGTGCGTCTATGAATTAACATGTAAAGAAACTTTTTCATCGTGTTACATTTTTACAAAATGATTGTTTGAATGCAAAATTATATTATGAAACCATAATTTTGTCATGAACTATTCTATGAGCGTGATGTATGTCTGGTCTTGCCTTAACCAAAACTCTGTACACTGATTTAAATCAGGTTTTGCTAAATCATGAACTGTATACTTAATCAATAGAGTTACAATGTTATTTTATAACTGGTCTTTATTAGTTTTAACGTTTATTTATGTATCAGATAACACGTTTCAGTAAGGATCCATATTCTTCCTATATGGAGGTATTATAGGTAGAACTGTAGATTATAAACAAAAGGAGACATAAATATATCGAACGTGAAAATTAGTTGCATGAAAGTCTCTATAAGAAATATGGTTTATCGACCTCAGTCAGGGTCTTTTTTCTTCCTTTTTTATGTGAATGCCGTAGCTCTATGGTTTCCAATATAATAGTTCAAAACAAAAAATCGACCAGACGTTTGATTTACCGATCCTACAACTAGGTAGGTGCCCGGGTCAAGTGCAAGTAGCTAAACTTATTGTGAATATGAAAGTAATGTAGATGTCCACATTCAGTGAAGTTGTCCCGATATAATGGCATCACTTTAAATACCTATCTGTACAAATACGTTATAAGTATCACGTTTTAGGGATACATTATGTGTAACAGGCATAGACTAAAATAATATGTCTCTACCTTGAGGGTGTGACAGAGAAATCTCCAACTCGAGAGGTGATGTTTTGGTTGTCTAACCCGAGACTATAAGGTAGGGGATGATTCATTTTCTCCCATCCTATTATTTCAGTCACAACTCCACCGACAGAAGTCTGCCATGTTTGTAAACAAAATTACATGTTGGGTATGAATATCGTCATTCACTTTTGATGACGTCACAATTACAGGTGATACATTTTAATGACGTCACAATTGAACACGTGCTAATCGGCACGAGGCTATTTCCCCCTAAGGGGGTGACAAGTTGATATTTCCCGGCAAACACGGGAGACACACTTGTGAAAGGTGGACAAATATTAATCTTATACTTTAACTTAATATAAGTTTATCTATATCTCGTAAAAAGATCTTAATATCATAATGACTCTTATAGGTATGATTACTACACATATTCACAAAAACTAAATGACTCGTAACAGTCCACACGTTTATATAACATTGTTCTATCAACCGGTCCGCAGTACACCAATAGCATGACGTCACTTACACAACAACATTACAATTGGATCGCGATGAAGCAGAAGACGCTTACCCTTTCGGAACGTCTGATCTTGTGTTATCCTTGTACTTTTTCAAGGGGTCTCCATGGAAATAATTCCTTTGAATATATAGTTTGCCCTAGTTTTAAAGATTTTGAGATCTTGTTCTTTTTCCTTTTTTTCCCGACAATTTAGCCAATATAATGTCCTTGCATGTATACAAATATGAACTTCGCTCGTGCACTGATTTTGTAGTTTTAGCCAACTATTGGCATTTTGAGAAGAGGTATCATATAGATACGAATAAAAGGAAAACAAATAGGACAAAAATCCTTTATTATTTTAATCTTAATTCAGGTTTAAGTATCTTCTTGTTGATATATAAAAGTGACAACCAGTAATATTCATGTTATTATACCTAATGTACAAAGCCAGCTGTATGACTTTTTAACTCTTGTATTAATTCAGACAAAGATATCTATCAACATTATCAGAAGATATTCCGTTCATTGGGCGAGGAACGCAACTTGTCAGCGTCATTTTGAAGCTTCTCCTCCCTCCGCGAATAACGTCAGACAACCGTTAGAAGCAAACAGTTTGGTGTTGTTAAACTGTTCCAGGAATCTTGTCTGTATTGGCGACATACACACCACTATATTACCGAACATTTACGGAAATGCTTATGTTCAGATCAATAATAATTGTATTGCATACCATTTTCAATGTTCATACCGACATGAACTCAGATCAGTTGTGTTCATACCGACATGAACTCAGATCAGTTGTGTTCATACCGACATGAACTCAGATCAGTTGTGTTCGTATCGACATGAACTCTGATCAGTTGTGTTCGTATCGACATGAACTCAGATCAGTTGTGTTCATACCGACATGAACATTGAAAAATGACGTTCAATCCTTATACATACGATATTCACACAAAGAAATAATAAGCTGAATCTTTCGTTTACCCACAAGTTACCCCTTTTCATCCTTGATATAGAGATTGAACGGCATGTTATTGATCAAACTTTAGTAAATAATTAATAAAATCGATGCAGTAAAATATAGCGGAACTATTCACACCTAGTGAAATTAATCATTTGGTCATTTAATCATGTGTGATACGTCATCTTTTTTTCTTTAACTCTATCACCTACTTTTTCTAAAATATTCCAAAGACAGAGGAGATGTCTTGCATCAGAAAAGTGATTGTTTGATTGAAGGAAACCTTATGATACCAAAACAATGGTAAAGAAACCATAAACCCTATAAACAGTTTATCTTGGTTCAAATGATAGGATTTACAAACAGATACGTTCCAATATATCAGTTTGTATTTGTGTTGTTGTGTTCGACCGTCTCTCTACGGTGTCTGCTATATTCTTATTGTAACTAAAGATACCAACTCGTAGATAATGATGATGATTATAGTCTAAGCCATCGGGCTAGTTTGTCATAGCCATAGACGCTAACATGCTGTCTCCTTGTAAACGACGTACAGTTCCAACACACTGTAACCACATAACACATGCTCCTGCTTTAATTATTTATAAGCAAAATGTCGGGAAATGAAATATGACGGCTGATGTAAAGCTTTACAGAGATACAAATGATCAAAAAATGAACTTTCGTAAGGAAAATTGAAATAATTGTTTTGGTAATTATCCTAACCTTGCTGTCTCTGATTAATCCGTGAATTTTGTCCTGGTCTTAAGTTTCTCATGATGTCCTCAATGACTGTTCCTGACTGCATGCTGAGCTGTTTATTGGGAGGGGGTGGATGCATCATGAATGAATTGCCACCTACTTTGTCCTTAGGTGTTTGGTGTGATACCTGCCTCATCGCCACTGGTGCCTGCTCCGATATCAATCTTTGTCCTGATATCATCTCTGCATGTCCAGATGACGTCATGGACCCTGGTCCGGAAGGCGATCCCACCGAATTGTCCACCAGTGACATAGCTATGGTTCTATTTCCGGTTTCATACTGTAGGTCAGTGTCGACGAAATCTAGGCCGGATATAATCTGCCTGCCGTCGGAAAGGATACCCCCATTCCCTGGCCTAATCTGGCTCAACGGGATCCCTATTGTTCTCCCAGCATCGATTATATCTTGGCCAGAGAACGACATCTGCTCATTATTTTGAAAATTTCGCTCAGGGTTTGTCCGTTGGTTCCCTTGTTGACTGTTTTCAAAGGAAAAGCTGCCATGCGCTTGCACCATATCCGGCTTTTCTTGCACACCAGGATTAGCGGTCACGTCGAATGCACCGGATGTTTTAGAGTTCTGTTGAACTTGAATTCCAGTATTTCTGACAAAATCGTTCCTGGTATAAGGCACTACAGTTGAATGTATCTTTGTAGTCAGATTTGAACTAATTAAGCCCTCTGTTGTGGTAGGAGTAGTTTTAAAGTTTGGCGGGCCAGTAAAAGTATGAGGGCGATATGCAGATCTATTCTGAGCAGAAAAGTTGGTGGACTTGATGAATATCTCTGCTTTATTATTCGGTCTAAATGTTTGCATGATCGATGCGCGAACATTAGCTTTGTTCGTATGTGTGTTAGAAAAAGTATGGATGTCGGCTGGTTTTTTGGCGGGATTAAACGCCGGAGCACTTTCAGTACTTGTCTCGATCATGAGTCCTTCTAAAATACTTTGGAGGTTGTCGGTCCCCGTGCTGTCTCTTAGAATATCTGTCACGTTTTGTATTAATAGATCCTGGTTGTTCTCGTGTCTAATATTATTTCCATTTAGTCTGGTTTCCTTTGCGTTAAATCCATCGCTGAAGGCAGTAGTCGAAAGTACATCAAACGGATTCCTGTTGACAGGATTCAAGGTGCTCATCTCAAGATCAGAAATGATTCCTTTTAATGTTGTTTCAATACCCATACCCGAGGTGGGGACATGTAGAGGCCGTTGAAGCTGCACTTCAGCTACACTTGCCATCTGAGGAGTTTCTGTATAATTTGACAGTTCTGCTGTCTGCTCCGTAGGTGTAGACGTTGGGATGGTTGTTATATTTACCGGTCTGGTGGTCAACTCAGTCATATGTCCGACTGTTGATGGTGTTGTAGGTTGTTCAAACGTGGAGTCGTTTCCTGAAACTGTGAAGTTTGAGAGAGTTCTGTTTAATGAACCAAGTGTAGTATTTCTATAATCGTTCATCGGCATTGATGTAGTGCTTCTATGTACGTCATACAGAACTACACTGTCGGTTGAAGGGAGATTCGGGGGTGTAGTCGAAGTGATATATTGTGACGTCAAAGTAATGGGCGTTGTAATATCCTTCAAAATGTGGGTCATGTTTTCAGTATTAATTGCATACTCGTCGATAGAAGATTTCAGGGTGGCACGCTGTGAAGAAAGAAAATCTCTAGTTGTGGCATCAGTGGTTACCATGACAACAGGTTCATTTCCGGTAAAAGATGCTACGTCACTATCGTTTGTTGTATGTAAATTTACTGTGGATGAGGGCGGAGACGGCGAAATAGTTCCACGTCCCATTATATCCATAAAGTCCTTTGCAAAAATAGGTATCCCTGGAGCCCCGATCCGCTCCCGGAACCCCGATGATTGTTGTGGACCTTCAGTTGTGGTTATCTCTACAGGCGGCTGGGTACTTCCTACCACACCTAATGTTGTTGAGTAAAGATTGAACAATGTTCCTGTTGTTGCTTTTCCTCCCTTTGTCGGCAGGGAAGTGACATGAATCTGATTATCTATATTTGCTATATTTTTATTCGGCCCATCGGAGACAATATTCTGATCTTTAGGATAATTGTGTAAATCAACTTGATTCTGTTTTAGGTTATTGTTCCCGGGAATGTTTGACACGGCCCAGTATGTGTTCCTTATCTCGTTATCGCCTGGTACACCCACGTCACCACGAGTCAATGTAGTACCGCTGGTTACAGCAGGACTCACCCAGGGCAGTTCGTTTCCAGTGGGAGTATTGTAATCAGACTGTAGAAACACGTCTGATATTGGAATACCTTTAACTAAAGGTGTACGTGTAAACTCACTCGTTGTCCTGGCATCGGGCTTTTGAATAACATTACTACTCGTGTCCTTACCCTCCCATTGGATGGTTATGTTGTGTTCACCACGACCTTGTAGCTCTCTATCATTCCATGTATCATTACGACCAACATCAAAGATCATGGTGTCGCCCATTGCTTCACTGACATTACGGGATTCACCAACATTCGTTACATTTGTTTGATGATCAGTATTCTTTTCGATCTCGTACGTTACATTGGAGTAGGAACTGTTTCCGTGTAGACTTGTTATATTGTGAATAGGAATAGATGTAGCAGTAATATTTGGCAGATTCAACACAGGTATAGCCCCCGACACCAGCACTGATTTAGTGCTGGACGATTTTGGTTTATTTTCTTTTCTTTCTCGTTCTGGCTTTCCCATTTCGCTTGCGACTAGGAGCATGTCCTGTAACCACGATGGAGTGGAAGGTCCGCCATTGTCCGATCCCCAGGAGGATTGTGTCGTCACCTCACGAACCGGGTCAGGGTCATGCTTCCATACTTTAACTCCAGCGGCATTTGCTTCGGGAAAGGAAGTTATATCACTTTTCTGGGTGATATCCTGGGTGTCATTCGATGAGAGAATGGCTATATCAGCACAATTGTAGTACTCCTCCTGGTCACCACATCCTATCCCCCCGTATCCGTCATCACACATCCCCCAGTAGTGGGCTAAAACATAGGAGGCAATATCACAAAAACTGTTCTAGTAACCATACCAACCAACAAATACAACATTACATTTTCAATAGGTTTTCTATTTGCTTGTGGGGTTTATGTCGACGGTGTACCGACTTTTTAGAGCAACCCTATAACGCTGTATTTGCTTTTAAAATCATCTACATATGAAAAGGAATAGGTCCTACATCTGCCTGTTTAAACACTCCCGTATGCCATGCCTTGGTAGTCCGATCGCTCTAACAATATTACACTGCAGGCTTTAACATTCTGACCGGTCATGGAAGCAGACGACTGCTGTGACAGGGGATCAGCCAGTCGGCAGGGTTATAAGGGTTAGGGCACATTAAGGGCTTAGACGTTAGCTACCTACATTTCCTACCGACACGGTTAGGCCGTCTATGCCCTTATTGTCATTCCTTTAAAACACATCCTATATTAAGCTGTCAAATTTACCGAAAACAGCAGTAATACTGACCTTTGCAAAGCATATATGCTCAACCATATTATGTTCTAAATCAAGAGGATCGGAAATGAAAGTACAGGAATCTAGTGTTCGGTACAGTTGTACAGAGAGTGTACTCATGTACATGTCATAACGCGAAACAAATGTATAGTAATAATTCGCGTGCTATGATTTTTTATCATGATGAATACAAAACAAATCTTTACTGTACCAAAAAAAACATGTTAAATATGTACGTCATGCAGAAACAACATACTTTAACAATGGCAAAAAAAGACTTTGCTTGCGTGGAAATAAATTAATTTAAAAAACTAAAATGGTGTTTTTTCCTCCACCGAAAACGGACTTCAACAGAAACATGTCAAATATCAAACATATTTATTGCTTACAATAATCTGCTCTGGGGAAAAGGTTTCAGTAAGTAAATGCCAGGGAATTATTTAATATTTATTTTATTGTTGTCGACCTGCGAATGATGGAGACATTATGTTATATTAATTATGCTGTTGTTGACCAGAGCATGAGATAGACATTATTTTATATTTTTTTATACTGTTGTCGACCTGAGAATGCTGGAGACATTATTTTATATTTTTCTACTGTTGCCGACCAGAGAATGATGGAGACATTATCTAATATTTATTATACTGTTGTCGACCTGAGAATGAGGTAGAAATTATTTTATATTTAGCATACTGTTGTCGACCAGAGAATGAGTTACAATATTTCATATTTATTTTACTATGATCATTATTGTTTACTTCGGTTGAATGCACATCGTTTTGCTATTTATGCAGACATGATAACACAGTCCCAGCTTTACAATGATTCTGTGATGTTATTAATAGAGACAGCTGCTAGCGTGGTATGTTATCTTCTATAAATGGGGATTAAAACGTTAAACAGGAATTTAAAAATGTATTGATGAATGAACTTCTACATTTGCAATATCCATATTGGCCAGTAAGTTAACTAAGAAGAATGTACATATTTAACTTAAAACCTTACATTATCCATGTTAAGTATGCTTTAACTTACGATATTTGATATATCAAACAATTATACTTACATCCCTTTCACATGTTAATTATGCTTTAACTGCCGATATTTGTTATATATCAAACAAGTATACTTACATCCCTTCCACATGTTAAGTATGCTTTAACTTACGATATTTGATATATCAAACAAATATACTTACATCCCTTCCACATGTTAAGTCTGCTTTAACTGCCGATATTTGATATATCAAACAAATATACTTACATCCCTTCCACATGTTAAGTATGCTTTAACTTACGATATTTGATATATCAAACAAGTATACTTACATCCCTTCCACTTCCACTGAAGAACACACTGAGTACAGGTGAGATCCTCGGGGATCTTTAGCTGGAGATCATACACAGTATCCCTCTCCACGTACAATCTGTAACCATGGCCACTGATCACCAGGTGGTTCTTATCCAGACATTCCTGGGTTATTGTTTTCCTTACATCATTATTTGGACAAAGTCTAAATTCAAAATAACCACCAATATTCGCTTTGATATCAACGGTTACATTGATCAGTTTGCTTTTGTCATGGTAATAAGTACGAGAGATATATCCTTGGGCAAACCTTCCGCCTGCTTCGTTAGGTCTGTTTTTGTTGTCGAAAGCATCGCCGCATATACCACATCTGTGATGGTTAACCTCGTGCAGTTTCTGTCAAAAAACAAGTCTCTTTTAACACAAAACGCTTGTGCATTTTAGGCATTGAGAACATCTTTTATTTTTCTACTATATTGACGAGAAGGATTAAGTAGACGTTAGTGGAGACAGACGACGCTGTATCCTCCCGAACACATTCTGTATACCGGAAAGTGTTCGTCCTGTTCTAATTTCGCCCTTTACATTTACATTTTATGTATATCATTTATTCACTAAAGTTTGTAATGATAAACTCTCCCTAATTAAGTAGGGCGAAAAAGGCGAAAATTAAAGTGCAGCGAAAATTCCCGGTATCCAGTCTATTCTTTTGTTTTCGTTCCCGAGACCATTTACAATGCATACTAATGAAGTAGTTTTACTCAGATTTTAGCGCATTTTCTAAAAACATATTTGGTTAAACAAATACTCAAAATTTTGATATTTGTAAGTAATTAAAAACCTTGTAGGATGTCCAACGATATTTGATAAACACAACCATATCTATATTTCCTGATGAATTATATGTTTTCCAGTAGTCTTTATTTTACTATTTCCGTTTCGTTTGGAGTAAAGTCTATATTTTACTATTTCCGTTTCGTTTGGAGTAAAGTCTATATTTTACTATTTCCGTTTCGTTTGAGGTAAAGTCGATTTTACGATTGTTTGAAGCTGCGCTATATTTTAATTAGTATCACTTACATAATTTTGTTTCATTCTGAACAGGGTTAGTTTAGTTTAAACTTTGTTTTATTCACATAACATATGTAATACATAATACAAATATGATTATACATAAATGAATTGGAGACAGAAGCAAGTGTTAATACACTTATATAAATCTGTTAACTTTCATCGTAACCAACATTATCAGCTATAGCTTAGGGATAGTGACGTGAATAAATTACAGGGGAAGTTAGAAGAGAGTTGCGGAAATGCAGTGTAAAAATATGGTACATGTACAAAATACGTTACATTCATAAAATCAGTGTATTGTGGTCATGAAATCCTTCTGTTGCGTCATCGTTGATACACTTTATGATTGATTTTCATACTGTTTCAAGGAAGGTATATATATGCATTTAAGTAAGATCTAAACAAACAAGCTCCACTATAATACTAACATAAAATATGCTCTATGATAATCATAATCATGTGGATGTTTTTTCCCTACGCAGACAGTCGTTGTGATAGACTGTTCACATTCCATACACTATTGCTGATGAACAGGGTTAGATGTCGTCCTAACAGCTAAGGTTATATATGGTCGGGTGCAGCACCATAACAGGGTTAGATGTCTTCCTAACAGCTAAGGTTATATATGGTCGGGTGCAGCACCATAACAGGGTTAGATGTCTTCCTAACAGCTAAGGTTATATATGGTCGGGTGCAGCACCATAACAGGGTTAGATGTCTTCCTAACAGCTAAGGTTATATATGGTCGGGTGCAGCACCATAACAGGGTTAGATGTCTTCCTAACAGCTAAGGTTATATATGGTCGGGTGCAGCACCATAAAAAGTATTAGAAGGAAGTACAGAAATGATATATCGTCTCTATTGCAGTCGGCACGGCATATTCACTGCGGTTTCTCCAAAAGCAGAAGATAGAGAGTAAAAAGTCCTCTTCTACAGAGAGGACACATCGTCCACCTCCTCAGTTCTACAAAGAGGACACATCGTCCGCCTCCTCAGTTCTACAGAGAGGCCTCATCGTCAACCTCCTCAGTTCTACAGAGAAGACACATCGTCCACCTCCTCAGTTCTACATAGAGGACACCTCGTCCACCTCCTCAGTTCTACAGAGAAGACACATCGTCCACCTCCTCAGTTCTAGAGAGAGGACACATCGTCCACCTCCTCAGTTCTACCGAGAGGACACATCGTCCACCTCCTCCGTTCTACAAAGAGGACACTTCGTCCGCCTCCTCAGTTCTACAGAGAGGACACATAGTCCACCTCCTCCGTTCTACAGAGAGGCCACATCGTCCACCTCGTCGGTTCTACAGAGAGGCCACATCGTCCACCTCCTCCGTTCTACAAAGAGGACACTTCGTCCGCCTCCTCAGTTCTACAGAGAGGACACATCGTCAACCTCCTCAGTTCTACAGAGAGGACACTGCGTCCGCCTCCTCCGTTCTACAGAGAGGACACTTCGTCCGCCTCATCAGTTCTACAGAGAGGACACATCGTCCGCCTACTCAGTTCTACAGAGAGGCCACATCGTCCACCTCCTCAGTTTTACAGAGAGGACACATCGTCCACCTCCCCAGTTCTACAGAGAGGACACATCGTCCGCCTCCTCCGTTCTACAGAGAGGACACATCGTCCACCTCCTCCGTTCTACAAAGAGGACACTTCGTCCGCCTCCTCAGTTCTACAGAGAGGACACAATAGAGAGTAAAAAGTCCTCTTCTACAGAGAGGACACATCGTCCACCTCCTCCGTTCTACAAAGAGGACACTTCGTCCGCCTCCTCAGTTCTACAGAGAGGCCACAACTTCCACCTCCTCAGTTCTACAGAGAGGTCACATCGTCCACCTCCTCAGTTATACAGAGAGGCCACATCGTCCACCTCCTCAGTTTTACAGAGAGGACACATCGTCCACCTCCCCAGTTCTACAGAGAGGACACATCGTCCACCACCTCAGTTCTACAGAGAGGACACACCGTCCACCTCCTCAGTTCTACAGAGAGACCACATCGTCCACCTCCTCAGTTCTACAGAGAGACCACATCGTCCACCTCCTCAGTTCTACAAAGAGGACACATCGTCCGCCTCCTCAGTTCTACAGAGAGGACACAATAGAGAGTAAAAAGTCCTCTTCTACAGAGAGGACACATCGTCCACCCCCTCAGTTCTACAGAGAGGACACATCGACCACCTCCTCAGTTCTACAGAGAGGCCACAACTTCCACCTCCTCAGTTCTACAGAGAGGTCACATCGTCCACCTCCTCAGTTATACAGAGAGGACACATCGTCCACCTCCCCAGTTCTACAGAGAGGACACATCGTCCCCCTCCTCAGTTCTACAGAGAAGACACATCGTCCACCTCCTCAGTTCTAGAGAGAGGACACATCGTCCACCTCCTCAGTTCTACAGAGAGGACACATCGTCCGCCTCCTCAGTTCTACAGAGAGGCCACATCGTCAACCTCCTCAGTTCTACAGAGAGGACACATCGTCCACCTCCTCAGTTCTACAGAGAGGACACATCGTCCACCTCCTCCGTTCTACAAAGAGGACACTTCGTCCGCCTCCTCAGTTCTACAGAGAGGACACATCGTCCGCCTCCTCAGTTCTACAGAGAGGACACATCGTCCGCCTCTTAAGTTCTACAGAGAGGACACATCGTCCACCTCCTCAGTTCTACAGAGAGGACACATCGTCCACCTCCTCAGTTCTACAGAGAGGACACATCGTCCACCTCCTCAGTTCTATAGAGAGGCCACATCGTCCACCTCCTCAGTTCTGCAGAGAGGACACATCGTCCACCTCCTCAGTTCTACAGAGAGGACACATCGTCCACCTTCTAAGTTCCACTAACTAAGTACACTAATGTTGTCTCATTGAAAAATGCAGAAAAACATAATATAACATAAATGCGGTATTTCAAATAAAATATTGAAATCACGTTGAGAATAACGACATTTAATGTATAGGAAAAGCAATCAAAAGGTGGTAATTTTTGCATTGTCTCTGAGAACAGTCATATCACATTCAGAAACCATTCCATCAACGCAATACAATGACGAAGTGAATAACGTGATCTTCCCTTTAGAACTAAGACTTCCAGAAAGAGAGTAAATATTAATCAGAAAGAAACTAAGATGAATTATCAACATAGCATAGTTTTTAATTGATGTCAAGTTTCTGTTGTTGTGATTTATAACAACATATAAAGTTAAGTAAGAATAATACCGCAACAAACTGGCACTAAAAAACGATAGCAAAAACTAACAAAATGAACGATGGAATCTTCAAAGCGAACGGAACGATAAATTAAACGTATAGTGGTGTAAAGTAAACGGAAAGGAGAAAACACCCAAACAACTGGAACGATAAAATCTAATATAAAATGATGTTGAACTAAAGGAATGGAGAAAACATAAAAACAAACGGAATGATAAATCAAACATAAATTGTGTAAGCCAACAGAACGGAGGAAACATCAAAACAAACGGAACGATGAATCTAATAAAACAAAACAGAACAGAGGAAAAACGCAAACAAACGGAACGATAAATCCACCGTATAATGCAATATGGTGTAAAGAAATAGAAGTGCATATACATTTTATTTATAGTCGTATATGTAAAAATGTTTCTGTTTTCATATATACGACTTTAAATGAAATTTCTTGTAATTTGTATCTTGGTATACATGTAGCTAAACGTGACGTACCCAGTATCCCCCACAATTTAGTCCTCCGTCGTCAGTATTCGTGGCAACCATTGGTTTGCCGTACCATTCCTTGTGCCTCCAGAGACTAGAACGCATCGGCGGTTCCACCATTTTCCCTCGTCCAGACGATAGATGGAACATGGTCTGAAGCACCAGAGACACGAATAGAAATGCGTGTACGTCCATTGTTGTGAATCTGTTAACCAACATCATGTAAGGTTGAGGGAAGGGGTTGTCTCGGCTGATACTGACATCACCTTACACCATTTTACATAATTAACAAACATGACGCGACAATTAAAATCTAGCGCAAAAACCAGTAACTACTGATGGTCGATCAGTTAATGACTATCCTCCACAAACCGGTTTAGCGTTTCCTGTGGTTCTCTGTAGGTAAATACCTCATTTCTAGTACATGACTCTCTTTTTTCGCTTTTTGGTGATAATGATCAAAGTGTTGTTAGCTTTACCTTTGTCTTAAAATCCATTTTCGTCATAAATAATTATAAAACTGACAAATGAAATAAAAAGTAACGAATAATGGTGTCATTAATACTCTCAGTACGAATGAATATTATACATATGATGAGAAAGATTTCTTTGGACGACATAAACGATATACGCCTTAATTAACAAAGCTGATAATACTTTAGAATAAATAACCAAATTACGTCGTATTTCTGGATAAAGTGTTAGTGAGGCGCTGCGACACAGAAACGCTATTTAGGGAGCATAACCACGGCAGGGGGAAGGACATTAATGGGCGTGTTACAGGTCACCTGGTGACGAGTGGCAGACATCGGTCACGTGACGTCGTCACGTATCTAGCAGTGTTCATACGAAACACAAAAGTAATTACTTTCACAACTTTATATTTATAAATAAATAAAAACTGATTTACTGGAACAGACCGTCTCCATTTAAACTGGTGCAGTTGCTAGCAATACATAATAGAAAAGAACTAGTTAATCTCGGTAAATACCTGTAATTAAGTCTACTAGTACGGTCAGGATTCCAAATTTAGTATATTGTTTAATGATTAACTGATTTCAAGTTATGAACGTGTGGCATAGGTTCGTCTCCTTATGTACAGGATAATGATTATCCCCCTATCGGTATACCTCAGGTGATTATATAGTGTGTTTTACTGTATATTGTCCATTTTAATAAAGCCTTACAACACGGTCAAGTTACCGAAATGATTATGTAACTTATTTAAAGATATGTCCTTTTAGGGCACGTCCGCTAATTTATAACTTTATATATAGAATAATGCAATCGCATTATGCCATACATCATGCCTATACTCATTTTTATAAAAGTATTTGAATCGAAAAGTGTAATTAAATATACACTGTTCATAGTTGTTTATGTCATGTACAGGATAATACTTCCATGTATTAACATATACACTGTTCATTGTTGTGTATGTCCTGTACAGGATAATACTTCAATGTAATTACATATACACTGTTCATAGTTGGTTATGTCATGTACAGGATAATACTTCCATGTAATTACATACACACTGTTCATAGTTGTTTATGTCATGTACAGGAAAATACTTCCATGTAATTACATACACACTGTTCATAGTTGTTTATGTCATGTACAGGATAATACTTCCATGTAATTACATACACACTGTTCATAGTTGTGTATGTCCTGTACAGGATACTACTTCCATGTAATTACATACACACTGTTCATAGTTGTGTATGTCCTGTACAGGATACTACTTCCATGTAATTACATACACACTGTTCATAGTTGTGTATGTCCTGTACAGGATACTACTTCCATGTAATTACATACACACTGTTCATAGTTGTGTATGTCCTGTACAGGATACTACTTCCATGTAATTACATACACACTGTTCATAGTTGTGTATGTCCTGTACAGGATACTACTTCCATGTAATTACATACACACTGTTCATAGTTGTGTATGTCCTGTACAGGATACTACTTCCATGTAATTACATACACACTGTTCATAGTTGTGTATGTCCTGTACAGGATACTACTTCCATGTAATTACATACACACTGTTCATAGTTGTGTATGTCCTGTACAGGATACTACTTCCATGTAATTACATACACACTGTTCATAGTTGTGTATGTCCTGTACAGGATACTACTTCCATGTAATTACATACACACTGTTCATAGTTGTGTATGTCCTGTACAGGATACTACTTCCATATAATTACATACACACTGTTCATAGTTGTGTATGTCCTGTACAGGATACTACTTCCATATAATTACATACACACTGTTCATAGTTGTGTATGTCCTGTACAGGATACTACTTCCATATAATTACATACACACTGTTCATAGTTGTGTATGTCCTGTACAGGATACTACTTCCATGTAATTACATACACACTGTTCATAGTTGTGTATGTCCTGTACAGGATACTACTTCCATGTAATTACATACACACTGTTCATAGTTGTGTATGTCCTGTACAGGATACTACTTCCATGTAATTACATACACACTGTTCATAGTTGTGTATGTCCTGTACAGGATACTACTTCCATGTAATTACATACACACTGTTCATAGTTGTGTATGTCCTGTACAGGATACTACTTCCATGTAATTACATACACACTGTTCATAGTTGTGTATGTCCTGTACAGGATACTACTTCCATGTAATTACATATACACTGTTCATAGTTGTGTATGTCCTGTACAGGATACTACTTCCATGTAATTACATATACACTGTTCATAGTTGTGTATGTCCTGTACAGGATACTACTTCCATGTAATTACATATACACTGTTCATAGTTGTGTATGTCCTGTACAGGATACTACTTCCATGTAATTACATATACACTGTTCATAGTTGTGTATGTCCTGTACAGGATACTACTTCCATGTAATTACATATACACTGTTCATAGTTGTGTATGTCCTGTACAGGATACTACTTCCATGTAATTACATATACACTGTTCATAGTTGTGTATGTCCTGTACAGGATACTACTTCCCTGTAGATACTGTCAGTCTAGAATGTTTTTTCACTAATCCTGAACAATGTCCTATCCATTTTATTCTATAGGTTTGTTCTATGTCACTGTTATCAGTGTATAAATGTTGTAATAATATGCCTATGTGCCGCAAGACTTAAAGCTAGTAAACAATACAATTCTTGTCTCAATAAAAAGCTTGGTTTTGATACGTGTAGTCAACAATGAAGAGTTATGTATACATATATTACAGTTCGTTAATCCTATTTGCCTAAAGTCTCGCCGGTATGTTCACCGATTGCGAACTCGTTCTAACTGTTATGTTATATATCTATCCAGTTCTTACTTCATAAAAAAAAGTAATTTATAAATGCTCACATATAATTAAATTAAATGTGAAACTCTGTGTACAATACAAATAAATTGTACGAAACTAATAATAAGAAAACCCCTAAATCAACATTTAACATACACAGCAATCATCTGTCAGCTCGATATGTTTGTGTTTTATGATCGCGTGAACTTATAACATTGAACAAAGAAAATGACAGACCTTTTATCTATATGAAATTCAATCCAATAACCTTTTTTTTTGATTCCGGTTAAGATTAGGATTGTTTTCGTTTCTTTTAAGTTTCTGTTAAGAGATATTCAATTATTATTAGTATCAGGTAGGGGACAGCCAGTCGGGTATCTTCATCAAAACAACGAGAAGTTGGAGTCAAGGTTCGCGACTTGACGATTTCTACAGTGGTGTATTATACAGGCGATGATGATCAGGCAAGTGTGCCAGAATATATTTCAATCTCAATATTATCGCCCGGGTTTACTTTTATAGTATGTAAGCCTACCTCTTACTACTTTGGATTATTGTTTGTATTTTCAGATTTACAAATATTTAAAAGAAGATATCGCTGGAATGTTTTAAAGAAGTGTTTATAAAACAACATAATTATATTCGCGGTAAGTTCAATTCAGTATTTATAACGAGAGCAAATTTCAACTAAACATTTCAAATCACAAACTTTCACATTTCGTGCGATTGTGTTATCTAATTGAACAAAAGAATGCATATTTTATTAATTGAGGAAAGACATGCATTTCATTTCTTTCCTGGTTACATTACTGGTGTAAAGAAAATATATTGAGTGGTAATTGAAGTTTATATTATAACGGTCACAAAGTTAACCTTATCCCTAACTCGACAATTACATGGATAAGGTTCTTATAAGATATATATATAGTCATACTAATGTCACACTTATCTTATATAGAGATAGATATTTTACTTTATAAACATTATTATAAATAGCAACGGGAGTAATCGATTTTTTTAGTTTAAACCCATTTTATTGTACAAATATACAAATGGATTGGACAAGTTATTTCAACTTAATACAGTAATCGCTTTCCAATATGTTTAGTTTAACTTCTTCAATATTATTCTATTTCTAGATTATATTTCAGTTTATAAGTAACCTTTTCAATGCATTATAGTCTACATATCTTATCATTGCCTCACGATAGCTTACACTCGCGATCGGCCTCAATTCTTGATATAATAACTTAGAGTAGGGTAATTAATTAACCGGAGCCGGTCCGGATCAGTAAGCCCGCGGCCATTGTATGATTGATAGGTACAACGCAATCGGACACCGATGATCATATTTATAAACACAAACTCGGTAATAATACCTGTGTCCGCTGTGGTGGTAACGATACAGAAAGCTCCATTCGGTTTATATCAATCTTAGTTGGTAATACAGTTGTGTTTGATATGTTTGAAGATCAATACACTTTACATAGGCTGATCATTTGGATAAATATCAACGGCAACACGCAGGAAAACTGCAACATATTTTTCATCATAGAAAAATCTTCCAAAAATCAACCTTGTGGAAAACAGTTTCTGCGCTCATTATGAACAGGGGACGATATTGAATAGTGCTTGTCTAAATATTGAACTACATGTATTATTGTATACGTAGAGACGGCACGCTTGGGATTCCAACTAAAACATTACATGAGTTGACAAATCAAACAAAATACCCGTTAAGGCAGCCTGCAATAATAAATGAACTGTAAATAATTAATTTAAAATATATAATTATAGCAGGAAAGATTATAAGAATTAGGAATATCTTTGTCGTTTATTGTACGATATATAACACGGCAGTGATGGCGAAGAAATCTGAAAAAGGAACCTAGTAAGGATGGGTTAGGGTTAGGGTTGGGATGTCCTTAATCCTCATACTATATAGTCTGTGCGGTAATAATCCTCATACCGTATAGTCTGTGTGGCCATAATCCTCATACCGTATAGTCTGTGTGGCTATAATCATCATACCGTATAGTTTGTGTGGCCATAATCATCATACCGTATAGTCTGTGTGGCTATAATCATCATA